CATTCTATACGCACTAACACCTACTTCGCGGCGTGCTGTCGAGTTATATGTATAGAAAAAAAATAGCTATACAAGCTTTGCCTTGTTCGGCTGTCCAAAGGTTGACATGTTCAAGAAAATCTTTTAATTTTGCGCCGCCTCCGAAAAGGTTGAACTGTATTTAATATACTACCTAACGAGTAAATAGGTTTCATTCATATCTGTGACGTAATTGTATGATTGAATGAAATAGAAATTATTTTATACTTTTTAGTGCATTTCGAAGTCGGTGTATTTTTTTTCTTAAAATTATTTTTTAAAGACCCCAATATCCAAATCTCCAAATTATCAAATTTCTAGAAACCTAAATTTCCAAAGACCACATCTCAAAATTCCCCGAATTCCCAAATTCAAATCTTTTCAAATCTCCAAATTACTAAATTTCCAAATTTTCAACCCTTCCAAATCCTCACATTTCCAAATTTTCCAATTTTTTCAATTTTCAAATATCTTAATTTCGCAAATATGCTAACCCGAATTATTTCGTGACATAAATGATTTGATATTTCTTTATAAAGTATAACGTATTGCATCGTCATCACTTAACTACATATACCATTTTTATAAAAATTAAAGTAACTTGCTATTTTCAAAAACAAAAAATGCTTCGAGAATTTAAATTATTATAATTGACGGTCGATTAGACTAATTAATTTCGTGTATCAACTTTGTCTGATAAATTATTTAAGAAATTGTGAATACGTTACACGAATCATCCCGTATATTTTATTAAAATGCACTATTTTTAATGATGATGTTTTTTGAAACTTTATGATTTAGTATTAATTAATAATCATTATTCAATTTTGCAGTCACCATTTAATTACATTATTTTCAATGAAATTTTGTAAATAAACAATCTTAACCTACATGATATCAAGGTCCTTATAGAAAAAAAATTATTAAAATTGAATTCATTAAATAATAAAAAATTTAATTTATGTACAATAAGAATAAATATTTTAACTATATTTTTCACTATCGGTATTTGAATTTATAATTTTGTTTAAATACTACATGCTTCTGTTTCTAACAAAAAAAGAACAAAATTTTGATCTGATATACTAAAATACCAATTTTATGGTTAAAACAAAATTTGTTATACTAAACAAATTCAGAAATGAATTTGTTAAATGTATTGTCATCTTGAAGAATGTTGTAGAGTCACAGACATATGCAAAAACATTAAAAAATATGAAATGGTCAAGTATAGATGAAAAATTATTCAGTTTTTTATTTACAAAATTTTCATGAAATTTCATTCATAAACATTGCGTTTGTATAACTGCTTTTTGTAATTTAAATTAATAATTCAGGTTTCTTTTTAAATAGGAAACTTTTATTTTTAAATACTCTTATAATAATACTAAAGAAGAAGCATAACGTCTTAGAATTACAGTATACTTTCAATGTCTTTTATGATGCCATCAGCTACTAATAGGAAGTGTCTGTAAACTTTGAAAGCATTGAATTGCAAATGTTAACCTAAGTTTCAAGTTTCCTATACTTATACGATCAGCGATTTATGAGATATAGTTTATAACACAAGACCGATATCGAGACAGGTATAACTAAAACCATTCTTGGCTTGTCACCAAGTAGTAATTGCGGTAATGTTTGTTGTTCTACCACAAATGAATATCAAGAAAAGAAACAATAGATGCATAAATTGCACGAACACTCGTAATATTCGAATAATATTCATATCGGTATAAAACATTACTGATTGTAGCTAATAATAAACAATTAATATTGTAGTACCGTTAAAATTCGGTTGAACTTTTCTCTTACTTTCCAATAGGAAACATGCATTATACACGATACACAATCGGTTTAACGGTCATAAATTTATATATTGATACATACACCAGAAATTAATTAAGAAACAACGGATATACACGTTAAAAAGAAAGATCTGTGATATTTTCGTACAAGTCTTCTCTGACAACATTTATTTGTCGATGGAACACACATGGGTAAATATTAAGTTGATCGGAAAGTTCTAATATCAATTTTAGAACATCTACAATTCTTTTCGAAATTTTCACAAATCACAGATAGTTCGTGTATTTCTTAACGAGTCGTTTCTTTTGAAATTTCTTCAGTCATTTCTTGTAATCAGTAAACATGTCAAATGGAAATTGTAAAACATGCAAATAGAAAAATAGTTGTATTCCACCATGACAATAGTCATATATCTACGCATCGTTAACACATTCAGTCCTAATGATGTCATGACATCTTAATATCAAAGGCACGATTTACAGAGAATATAAAATTGTTTGTTTGAACCACAACCCAACAAACAAATTTAATGAAATGTCCATGTAATTTGTACAATGAAATTTTAAACCAGTATGCAGTCTTAAACTTGCTATTGCTTTTTAATTTTTTCAAATAATATGAACTTTTCTTCCTTGGAAGACTATTCATGGTCTACTATGGGTGCTAGACATTGTTCAAAACTTCATTTGAAAACACACAATCTGGAATAGATCTATGCTATCAGAATCTAAGATTCGTCTCATAAGAGATAGATTTACAACCTTCGGGAAAAAAGTATTAACACGCGCAGGACCATTGCGGTTTTAATGACGGTGACCAAAACCATGGATTATATCCTGCTTTAGAAATACATTTCGACATAATGTATAAAACATATTAACATTACATGAAACATGTTTTTGTTTACAACTTGGCGTTTCAAGTTGATCTCCCAAATCGAGATCAGATTTCATGTTCTGTCACTTGAGTGATTTTGCAACCGCTTTCGAATCTCGCTAATGCTACTTAAGCAACGTCTGGTCCTGAACGTGTTAATTTACAAGTTCGCCTTATCGCGGCTGAGCTCCAGCTGCCAATTCGGGATTGAATGTGCTAAGAACTTGATAAAAGTTGACTAAACTGAACTGGGATATTCTATCAGGAATGAGTATTGAAGTAGGAATAAAATACTTGAAAACTCAGATAAATAAATTGCAGATCCAAAAAGTCGCATTAAATCTGATGTTTATTTGCGTCTTCAAGTAAAGTATTACTTGTTCATACTCCAATACATAACCTCCATTGGACGATTCAGACTTCACACTCTACACTGATTTAAATAAGCAATGCTTAATAATTAAGCACTGAAAGAATATTGTAATACACAAGTTGCCAAATAGATGATGGAAGGTGACAATAATAATGATAATATTAAATAAAAGATTAAAAAAAGTATTCTAAAACAGCTAACTTGTTTTCATTTAAAAAAAAGAACTTTCCGATCAACTTAACAATGAATACAAAGCGTATCTCTAAATTACAATAAAAATTGATATGCATTCTTTGCAACTAATTACTTAACCGCGATATTTTAACGTAAATTACATTTGAGAACTAATATATCCATAAGAAAAAGTGTCGTTGGCAACTTAGAAAGAATAATCATTCAGTGAAGTTGTATACACTACACAGGAATGTCTGAGAGCATTTCTTGCGACAGCGCATATTACAGTCACGATAGGATAGTTTAAAAGTCGAGATGACTTCATAATAGAAAAACGTTGCATAGTAAAAGGTATTCGTATGCTAAGATCCTCACCGCCTCGAAACTTCCTCTATCGCTCTATCATAGAAACAGATAAACGAAACGCATTCGATTTACTTTGAGCAATACTTCTTGCAATAAAATAGATCTGTTGCTTTGGAGAACGAACACTAATCAAGAATAAAAAAGAAAGATGGTTCTTGGAATAATCGTTGAAAAAACGATAACTCGCACTCGCACGCGCTCATTCACTCGCATGCAACCACACTCTTCCATACAAACAGAATCGAATGCCATCGCGTGTCCGCACACATGCATCAGTCATACATAGCAATTGTTCTCTGAAGGCGCTACCTATGAAAATATTTCTATCAATAATTCTCGTAACACGATGATTTCCACGCAGACAGTGGTCAATGTCCTCCTCCATTAATTCCCAGAAGGAGGTCAACTAAAGGCAATGAACCTGCCTTCCAACGATGAACCTCAGCGAATCAGTCCAGCCTTTCTAACAAAAATTCTTTTATAAAAACGTATGAATCTAAGCTGCAGGTGACTGCCTATCGCCCATCTTTTTAGTGAGTTCCTGTAGGAAGTCCCTGTAGATCAATGAATCCATGTTGGATGACAGAACGTAGAGGAGCCACCAATCGCCGAGATCAATCTTTCTGCTGATACTGTAGCAAGTTTCTATAGACAATAGCCGGGAAGAAAGATGTAGCAATCTCGGCCTTACTGCTGGAGCAAAAATGATGGCGGCTCTGTACACCATCAGACCCAGCAACAAGACGGATAAAATGGTGAACCAAAACCAGATGAAGATGTATGTCTTCTCGTTGACGATATTCAGTGGAAGAATGCAGAGGGAATCGTGTTGCTGTATCGTTCCCGAAGCACCATACTTGTAGAAGAGACATTTCGTGACGCGAGGAAACACATAAACCATGGGGTCCACACGCTCCTCCTGCGGTACATCCGAAAATTGCAGCACACGCAGCCCGTAGCTAAGGAACTCTCCGTCGAAAAACCGATTCATCAGGTACAATTGCATGAAAATATTCACCAGGCAAAGGGCTTCGCAGATGAAGTATCGGTACACGTACATGTTGTGAGTCTGAAAGAACAAACGATCGGTGAATTGGCATAAATTGGATTCAACGAGGTTAAATTGGATCTAACCGAATCGTCTCAACCGTTCTTTCTTATTCTTTCGTTCTTTCCCCTAGCTAAGATTTCTCTATATGATACATACAACAATTGACGGATCTATGTGAACGATCTTAACACATAAGTAGTCATTGCATTAGAACTCGAGAATTCCTGCATTGTGTGGATAGTTCCTTGTAAGAAATATCATCTCTGAAGTTGAGTCTACATCGTTTCTAAGTTAGACTAGATCAGGTTAAAATAGATTTCACTTTACCCGATTTAAAATGAGTTCTTTAAATTTGATTAGGTTTAGGTTAGCTATGAGTTCAATTGTTAATCGAGATACTCTCAACATTATGCATCATTCTATTATTTTCTATTACTTAGTTATACTACTTTAGTTCTATTACGGAAATACAGGAAGTCTATAAACTATGCAGTATCTAGGTGACTAGATATGATGAGTCGGTTGAAACGAAGCGGCGACTATGATTTTGCAAAATTAAATTTAATATCAAGTAAAACGTAATTGAATCATGATACTCACCCTGATGTGATTCAACAGATAGTCCATTAATACGGACTTCTTTTTCTGAATGTTTTCTTCTTTATCCAGGCCGTGATTCATGCCCATGACCAATGCACTAATCAAACCGCCCTCCCACATGTTCCAAAGCCATTGTGGTACATAGCACAGCAATGCCTGTTGAATGTGACACACATACGTGTTTAATTTAACCATGGAAAGTTCAACAAAGATGAGAACATACAATAACTATAACAGGGACATTTAGCACTAGACACACTACATGAATATACCAAGTGCCTAGTAACTGAAATAGATCACTCTATGAATATGAAAAGAATGTGCAATATGCTTCAGTCACATAATTTGTGACATCATCAAATAAATTTCAATTCTGATATTTTAAATAGAGTTGTGCATTCTTGTCTTTTCTACAAGAGTATTCCATGGACAACTAACTATGAATATTTCTGTATGTTAATGAAATTTAAAATAAAGGGCACAAAGTCATGTTCGATGAATAGATTTTTCTGCTGAATTCATTTAGTCAATCAATCTTCTGTTTATTTTTTTATTTAGATTATTGCTATCCAATTGCACCATCAACACTAAAACTACCCTTGTATTTTTAGAACATAGTACTTCCAAAGTAAATTAAAATTTACATCTATTTGTATTTAAAATTATATTAAAAAGTTTACATTTTACTATAAATTTGTAACCATTTTTTTTTAATGAAATTTTGTAGAATATTATTCCATTTCTGTTAAAGTATATAACGTATTACTAAACATGTAGTTGTCTCTTTTTTTTGCAATGCAAAGTTTCTATTTCAGTATAGGTTCATGTTACAATCTAACATCAAAACTTTTTATACGCGTTCAAGTACACTCAGTCGCCATTTGTAATCAATTCCTTTTCCAAATACATCTGGTCGTCATTTACAATGAATCCTTTCTAACCATATCAGCAATCATAACGCATGCTGTTACCAACAGCCCTTCATTCAGGATCAAATAGATCGAAAACGAGCACCGAAGCAATTTCTCGAACAGAAACAGAAGGAAAAGGCGAATTCAGATAATCAGCAACGTGAAACGCTGAATCTTTCGCGCTCGTGCATTCGCGCGAACCACAGTTTCGGATATCCAATACGGAAAGTCGAGAACAGTCAGAGGTAACAAAAACCTAAACCAAAAGTGCAGCTGTCTCGGGCTTATCTATCGCGCGTACAAGATTACCGATAAACGAGCCTTTACCTGGAAGAATAATACGAAGCACACCCACTGGTAGTAAGTATAGTATTTCCTGGCGTCCACGTCGCCGAAGTCGTTCGACACTCCTGGATGCGCCACTTCGAGACCGACCTGATAACAAACAGACTCGTCAACAATAGGATAATGTGCAGGTGTACTCGATTAAATTTATATATCTATATCGCTATATCGTGTATTTATCGTCCACTTCCCGTACTTATTTATAAACGGTTCGTGCATTCAGACGATGCAGTCATTTTTTACCGCCGTTTAATCGTTCAGAATGTCTCAGGTTACTCGCACGATTTGGCGGGAAATTGGTTATCTAAAATACATGCATAATTTTTCTTCGATTTCAGATTTAATTTTCGTTGAAAAATTAGTACTGGTTGTATCAAATTCAAAAGTTAATACAATGAGAAATATAACAAAGAAATTTTAGTAAATTTTTTTTATTATATTTAATTTATTCAGTTTTGATTTGATTTTCGTACTTATGTAAAATATTAAAAATTGTTAGTATACAAATTTTGTTTTGATGCAAAGTAAAATATCCAGCAATACAAAGCAGGTAAATGAATATTTATCGATTGCAAACTACTGACGATTCTTTTTTTTAAGTTCTCTTTATTTCTAAAACTGTAAAGTAAATTATCTTCCTTTTTTTAGATTAACTCACATAATACCTCTTTTATAGTTTTTTAGTTTAGGGGAATTTAAAATGGCGTCCTTGTGCTATAATTAAAAGGGTATTGCAGCTTCAAATGCTTTACCCACACTGTACATGGTAAATGCAATTACGCCCATTTTGGTTGAGTTGACTGTTTGGAATTCCATTAGTGCTTAGTTATATTTACGTTAGCTCTTTTAAAAAATGTTCACAATGAATGTTTACGATGCAACCCTCTGAATTCTGAATAAGTAGGTAAAGAATTTATTTATTAAAAAATTTAACCATATACAATACAATAGTGAGAGGAATTACACCAAACGACCAGAAAAAGACTTCAGATAACCTTGGTAACCCGAGGCTATTTCGTCGTTTTATGCTTTCTTATTACTTGCTGTCAATCATGTCTTATACTATCATTATAAAATACTTATCACGGTCGAGTAACAGTCTCATTATTATCAAAGACAAATTTTAAATAAACAGAACTTATTTATATGCGTAATTCTTATCAGACATAATTTTATTGAGATTCTAGTTCTAACCGTTCGTAACCAATTTGGATCGTAGATGGTAAAACTTATTTTCCTCCGTATTATTTATTTTGTAATAAAAAATTGTTAATTTAAGACTTTTCAGACTTTTCCAGATATTTTGAAAAGTAGCGTAGTGATTCAAGAACAATCCAGTTTATTAAAGCATAAAAAGATATGTTTATCGGGAAAGGATTAAATTCAGTAAAATAAATGTGATTGCGTATATTACAAATTTAAATTCGGTCGACTGTAAAAGAAATACGTATTACGTCTTACGATTTAAATTAGTACATATGATAAATAATTATAGAAATAATAAATGTATTTAAAAAATATGGAAACACGTCGCTAATAATACATGCTTTCTTAAAAACCGAGTAAAAAAATTCTCACGTAAAAAATTGCATTGTAAAACAGAAATTAGCAAGAAGTTAAAACTTATTTAAAAAAGCGTGAAAATGCTGATTATTCGGCATAAACTTTTTATATAATTATCAGTGAACTGCAGAGCATGTCATAATCTGTTTCATGGATGAGCTTCTCGAAGCTAGAGACAGGTGGTTCGAAGGACGAGCTTGGTGACCAAGCGTAGATCCAAGTTCAAAATCTAGGGGCACAATCGGTAGACGCGATTACCCACCTGCCGATTAAATGCATCCGGCATAGTAAACGTAGACGTTATCCAGCAGTAAGTGTTGACAGGGTGAGTTGGTAAACCTTGAACGATACAGGAGATCGGATTACCAACGTATTGGGTGGCCGTGATCACCATCGAACACGTGAAAAGTAGCACCGTCGTAAAGTGGTTGTGCAACCGGAACACCATCGAATCCGTCGTGATCTCCTGCCATTTCAGGAACGTGCCAAGACCCCCTAGTAGTTTATACATGATTGTGTTTTTCTTCGATGATCGTTGTTTACAATCAAGTTTTCCCCAGCTTCACACGACGACAATCCACGTGGCGAAATTTGTCACGAAGAAAATCGTATCAACTGGAACTTTCGCGGGCCCTCATTTACCGCGGCTCCGCTCGAAAAGCGGTAAAACGAAACGAAACGAAACGAAACAGACACACGACGACCGTACGGCTGTGTCCACGCGGCGTGCCTCCCTCTTTTCCTTTTCTCCTGTTTCTCCTTCTCCTTCTCCTTTGGCGTCCTTCTTCCTTTGCTTCCGCCCTACTCCTCCTCCAGTCGCTGTTTCTTATTCTTTTTTCGGGGTGAAGAGAGCGCGCCGCGATTGGTCACCGAACCGCGTTAAACGAGATCGCGAACGGTTCGCCTTCTACGCTTTTCTGCACGGCTGTCCACACCGCCAGGAGTTTCAACTCTGTTACGATGCGACGACGAAACACACGTGTCCTTTTACCATCTTTCGCCGATCGATTGATTGTACGCGCGACTACGTTCAGTCGAATCTCGATAAACAAACGCGCGACGCAGATCGAACGTACATGGAACGAGGAGGGGGAGACGTTTTCTCGATGTTCAAAAAATCGCGCGTTCTCTGCTTCGTTGTCGAAGACACGAAGCTCACTGTCAATCCTGTTATTCCCTCTATCGGCCGAAGGATTTCACCGGAGAAACACAGCCTGACACAAAATTGTGCAACAGCCGGACCGAACTCTCTTGGCGTTTAGGGCTCCCCCTTTCTCCTCCTCCTCCTCCTCCTACTCCTGCTTCTCCTTCTCTTTCTTCTGCTCTGCGCGGCACTTTTTCTCTCGATATCGTGCAGACAGATCGTACGAACGGGTTGCGAGCCAACACCGAATTGTGTCGGCATATACACGTATGTACGTAGCAGTCTTCAACGTCGACTGACGAGAGTAGTCAGTGGCTTGTTGTTCAACCGAGGGGTGAGAGGGAACCTCTTTCGATCTTGCTAGGGGGACTGCCGTAGTCGAAACGAGTAGGAGAGGGCCCAGCAGGTGGGGATCGTAACGGTGGGGGACCGACGGCTGTTCAACTCCCCCCCTTTGTGTATGCTGCGATACGCTCCATACCCTGTTTCCATAGTATGTGCTCCTGCAACGATAGTTAACGTTCTTCGTAGAATTTAGTTTCTTCTATATTCTTAATTGATTTATTTCTACAAATTCAATTACTCTTTTTACGTACTGCAGCATCTGCTGATTTTATTTGCTGTGTTTTTTCTGGGGAGAGACATTTTACACAACTAGAAAAAGATACACTTATTGTAGCAAACTGCAGACTATCTCTACGAGTTGAACTTAAGGGCGTTACACGCTGGCACGCTAGAAACGACTGCATTTTAGTTACAATGCTTATTCGTACTGATTTCATCTGTATAATACTGACTTTTAAGCGCTTGTGTCGATTAAAAAATTCTACATTATTTGTACACGTATTAAACATTGCATATATTTAATATTAAAATAAATAAATCAGTGAAATTATTTATTCTTAAATATTTTATTTTATATTATATTTTGTTCAATTTTTTTTTAATTTATGTTGATATCTAATCGGATAAAAAGTTAATGACTTTAACATTATTTATGAGTATTTCTTTGTTTATTTATTTACTATTGTAATTTATTTTCAACTGTGAAGTATATGCAGTGATTTAAGGTTAAATAATACATTGAAAGTGTTAATTTAAGGAAATTATTGTCTGATATCAATAAATGAACAATTATTTCTATGAATCATTTTCTAATTTTTTAATTTTAATAAATTGACGTTTTTCTTGTAAACTATACTAAAAATATACATAAAGATACCATTTTTTTATAAAAAGAAAAAAATGTTAATATTAAAAATAAAAGTTTTTTATAAAATATTTTTTATGTATTGAATTCATCGTGAAAATAAATAATCGTTCTACTTTAAATATTCCTACAATACATATCACAACGACGCAAATAAAATCTATACAAAAGTATATAGTTCTTTAAATATTTTTGTATTAAAATTTCCAATCAGTGCACGTCAACTTTTGCTAGGTATTATTGAATAAAATACTATTTTTTTTTTTTAATACAGCTTAAATTGTATGTATTAAATGTGCGATGAACTATGAATGTAAAACATTTGTACAATTACAAAATCAAAATAGAAGAATATATATTGTACAGAGTCTTCATCGAGCCGAACCTGTATTTGTGCATAATACTTTTGTCCAATACTGTACATTCTTAAGATGCTTGGAATAAAGTAAATAATGTCGTAGACTTCGATATTTTTATCAACGTTTATATTGTTTTGAAGTTTGAGGTTAAACAAATAATAAATCAGTGTATTTCTGGACATAGAAATATATATAAATATTATTGTAATATTTTTAAAAATATAAAATATTTTAATAATATATATGTATAAATACATTTTCGAAATGTATGTAACATATATTTTTATGTATTTTTTTTTCGATCTTATATTTTTGAGTAAATACCAAAATTATTGAAAAAAATAAGAAACATTGGAATGAGACTAAAGAGAGATATCGTTTTAAAGATTCGATTTCTATTTCATAGCACAACCGTAAGATTCACTGAAATATATGTACTTTTACTTATTCTTCTCGAAGAATGCTGGAAATAAGAACATTCGTATCGATGATTTAAAGCGCCTTGGGTCCGCCATTATCTTACTACCGTTATTCTGCTCACTTCTTTCTCCTTTCCTCTTCTGCTCAACCTCTCCATCATGCACCATATCGTAATGAAAGTAAATCGCTTTAATTCGATCGTTAAATTCAATTGAATGCTGAGGTCACTAAAAGAATCAAACACTGGAGCTGCCTTGTGGTCTCTCAATGAAAATATTGTTCTCAGAACTTTGATCTGACGAGTTCGAGTATCTGAATCTAAAAAAATACAGTTCATCGACGACTAAACTTTGTGCAGTTTTAACTTTGATCTCTAATGTAAATAGACCGAAGGAAACTAAAAATAAGCTTGTCAAACGACATTTATCGTACGTAAACGTAAAGAATTATCTGCTAGGCTCTAAAATATTTAATAAACTAAAAGATCTTCAGGTTCTTTTCTTCGGATAATATTTTTCAAGTCGAATCTGTGCAAAGAAGCTATAAGATGTTAAACGTTCAATATTTACGCTAATGTTCTTAACGTCGTTACAACATATTTGTAAATTAAAATTGTACTTTGTTACTCATCTCGTGAAAGTTCAAATTTTTTCTTGGAATATTTTCTGATTAGAAGCTAGACTATAAATGTAGGATAATGTTAAGTCATGCTATTTCTTCACACTTATCGTTACTACTCATACATGAAGAATAACTTTTTTTATACAAGGCGAATTAAAGATCAATCTTGAAAGCGTTACTAATAGAGTGAGAGCAAATGTCTAATAAATCCCAGTTTTATTGTGTAACAGTAGATGATGTATGTACAGGGTGACCCATTTTAATCTTCAAACGTTTATCTTTCAGACTATTCATTCAAAAAAGTATTTCAAATAAAACTTACTGTGTTTCGACAGAAATACATATTCTGTTTAGATGAAGAATGTTGAGGTGACGTATGTTTTTTTTTAACCCAACTTGATGTCTTTTTTTACATCGATAAATTCTTCAAAATATTCCAAATAAAGTATGAGGACACAGTATTGAAGAAATAAAAAATTCTTGAAATACTGCAAATTGTTACGTAAAATATCTCGAACTTTTAATCTTGTCGATGTCCTATTACTATTATATAAAATATTCCAGAAAATCGATCTACACACAAATATATAAATTTTGTTGAAAATAGAAATACAAATGCAGTTTCTTTCTATACAATTGTATATTCTTTTCGTTATATAAACTAATTTCTTTAGAAAAAAGTAAAAAAAGTAATGGGATATAACGTGAAAGAGATACTTTGAAAATATTTCATATTACTGTACGAAACGTCCTTCTTTTGAATTTAAAATATTCTATAAACACTTTATTTTTTTAATATTATACCTGAATATTCCCTCTTTTTTAATCTAATAATTTCCTTCTAAAATATCTTCTTTTTTGTATCTTTCGAGGTAGAGATAATTCAAACTAATTAAAAGTACCAGAAATATATGAACCAGTACACAGGATAACTATAAATTTTTATTGTTTGTTAAAAAATTGTGTAAATGCAAAGTTAAAATCAAAATATTGTTTTCAACTAATGTTAAAAAACATGTTAGTAATGTACAACGAAAATAATGAAAATATCAAACATACTTCTTTTTATTAATAAAATAAATAGATTATTTTTAATTTTGATGAACTAAGAATTTTTAAACGTAACAATATCATTCTTTTTCATCATTATTATCTTCCTAATGCAAATATTAAAGTACGCTCTTGAACGATCACCTTATTGGAATACGTTTTTATCATAAAATTTTGACATCAGAAAGATATGCATATCTTTTGCACGGAACTTTACCGGAATTAGTAGGAAAGAAAATATATTTTTAGACGTAACTTCCGAATAATTTGAAATTATCTGAATGCGACTTTCGAAGAACGTGTTATCAGCACAGTTGTACCGAATCGCGGCCTAATGACTAACACGTTCGTCAGATTTATTTGCACTTGATTTTTTCTTTGCTTAATATTAACGGTCTTATTGTTAGATGTAGAATTATTACAGCACCTACAACTGTGAAGACTTCCAATTTAATAGTAGTAGCACATTTTGTACGTAAATTTCTGTATTACCCTCTAGGGACAAAACATTTTCAAATTTCGCGCCATCTGAGCGCTCCATGTTTTTTATTCAACATAAAATAAATTGTATTTTTCATTTCAAAATATGCTGTTATAAAATTTGTAATATTTAAAATTAAATGAGAAATGTTTACAGTCAAGTTTGTAATTTTTACAATTACAATTTTTATTTTCACTAAAGTTATAAGCAGATGTAAAAATATACATACATATACAAATACATGTCTAACTATATATGTTTGAATATACATATATTTTTTCTATGTCGAAAAGCAATATGCAATTTGAATTTTTATTAAAATAAAAAGTATTTTGCTGTTTTTAATTTTTCATTGACTATATTTCATCCAAATCTATGTAAAATCAAATAGTTACAAGGTTCTATGCTTCTGTTTGCATTGTTCAAAAGTAAACTGAACTAAAAAGATAAGTACATATTTCTATTTCCACTGCTCTAAACCTGAAGCTGTGTAAACGAGGAGAGGTGTATTATGCTTATTGAATTTGGTTCAGTATTGTGTGCGATATGCTGGAAAAATATTATCCTTTGAAAACTGAAGATGAGTTTATTACAAAAAAGACTAATTGTAAGTTCGAAGTATTCATTACTGTTATATTTATTTGTTACAATTTTTATTACAGCGATTTTAGTTTTCTAAGCTTTTTCTTGCACAAATTAATAAGAATACTTCGAGTAATTGTAATTGGAGCATTTGTATCAGAACATTTTTGCATGCTCATGTCTTTCAAATTTAGTATTACAAAAGCATGATTTGATAAGGCTTATAATTAATATTAATTACATATTTTTTTATTTATTTATTTAATTTCGCACCCCCGTTGATGCATTAATGGCCACAATATTATACAATAGTAGTTTTTGTGATGTTTTTAGTAAGTTTTATTAATGTTTCATGTAGTAGTACTTGTATGCTGTGATGTTAATAAAGTTGTTCTTATTATTGTGGATTTAATACATTAAGTGTAAAAGATTGTTTGTATATCATTGTTTACTGATGAACAAAAATCTATATATATCATAGGCAATACTAAGATTTGCTCCATTTTTGCTTTTTATAAAAATATAATTCATATTTCGAGAGGGTTATCGTTTATGAATATTTAGTCCCAGCCTCCGTTTGTTTAGTCACATTGTCGGCCAATGACAAAAGTATAAATTCGTGTGCGAAACTTGTAGAGCAGGAACGCGCATGGAATTATGCAATCGATATCAGCAATTTCATGTTCCTCCTTTCACGTTCCAATCCTTCGTTTTGTCGTTTCACGAAGCAAGGCTTACTGCGTTTGAATACGTGACCAGATGCACGCAACTTGAAAGGACTGCGTTTCACCCCATGGAACGGAAATACCAGCATCCCTCGACCTCCACCATTTGTTCAGGATCATGTTGAACGCCAGTATATTAAGTTACTGCAGAAACAATAGGCATTTTACTATAGGATACGCAAGGGCACTACGTACTTTCAGTGTCAGGTTATTTTCTAGCAAATTGGTGTTGTTAGAGTTTGTACATCGCACTATGTCGATCATTATTTTCCTTTAATTATTTTTTTATTTTTGTCAAACGTAGTGTGGCTCCTCGGACAAGTTGATTTGAATTTTTTCGTTTGTCTATATCATGCAATGGACGCAAAGTTTAGTACTTAGCTTGAAATTTTGAGAATAGACTCGTGAGACTCCCTTTTGCTGTATAGATTTTAGCGGCAATCTGATTACAGCAACCTCATCAACGTCGATAGTCGTTAAATCGATAAAAAAACCGTGTTTTAGTATCGTTTTCTATCATTTTTGACACATAGAATTGAGTAGGACCATGTTAAAAGCTCTATAACTCGTTGTTAACGATAATACTTGGTTGTCATTAACGTCAGTCATCGTGAAATCAACAATAACCGTAATTGGTAATGTTTTCTATAGTTTCAGACACGTGTAATCGTTTAGAACGACTTTAAAATTTCTACATCTCTTCTGTATGTTTACAGTAGGTACTCTGAATTTTAAATACGCATTTGAATTTGCGTGAGGCACCTAGTCTATAGACGCACTTGTTACTAAACAGTTGGTATTAGTATAGACAAAGATGTACAATTGAAATGAATTCCACGGGCTTTTATTTGAAATTATTTCTAACAACAGATGTCAAAAGACACGTTTCAAATTTTAATTTAAAATTATTCTCGAAATTGAATCATTTCTTCATAATTGATGTTTTGACTTTTCATATGGTATACTTATTTCTATCATGAGATCTTTTGCCATCTTCAGGATTTGACAGTGGCTAATTTTAAACCATTTTACATATAAATATCAACTCCATTTTAGCATCATATCAATTATAATGAGATTAGAAAATCCCGATTTCAGTTGTAACGGAAAATACAGGAGTTGCGGCATAACTTTGATATTCATTTATTTCCCGTCATGTTGCATTTTAGTGTACATCGCTATATTTATATTTTGTAGATTGATGAATTAAGTTAGAATTTACAACCTAATTAAATAGTCTCTAATAAAAACACATCAATGTATCAATAAATATATTCCTCAAATTACCTACATTTAACTGATAATTGAAAACCCCAACGGTTTTGGTAATTATTTGCATTCAAACGAGAAGATGTCAAAAGACACCTTTTGGTCGAAATAGGTATAAACAGAATCATGGTAGAAATAGTGTCAAAACCAAAGATACTAATATTGTTATTAGAGTTAATATTGCACCTTGTCATTCTATCATCTGCACCTGTCATTTGAACAGTGATTACTTAGGCCTCTAAGATTTTCATTGCAAAATTATGTCTACAATTTTAAAACAAATTTTAACAAATTCAATAAAATTGATAGATTATTTAAAATCGACTGAAATTGGTAAACTATTTTGACTTAGAAACATTGAATTTTTATTGAAATTTGCAATTGCCATTTTCAATAAAGTAAAATTACGTATGTACTTATTTTTGTCCCAATAATAAAGGTATTAATCATAACGTTGAAATGTGCAATAATAATATGTATTCCACAGTGTAAAATAATAAACAGTTAGGAAAAGCAATGAAGAAATAAAATAATGATAATTCTTGAAATAACGAGTAATTATTTAATCATTATTAATGAAGTTATGTAATAGAAAGCCTTAAATGTCACGTATGTAAAATATAAAACCAATGTATTTAAAATACTCTGAATTCGAACGAACGTACGCGTTTTGCCTCGCAATATCTGTCTCTTCTCTGTTTTCCTCGTAGCACGGTAGATTTCGTCCAATATGTCCGGGTGAAATCGGTTATTATACTGATAGGATAATTAATTCCATGATATATTACACCAGATAAATGAGTTGCTGATTTATTTTATTCCGCGCTGACTCGTAACATAGTTGGTTTCAACTTGTTCCTTACTGAAGCGTTTCTGTAATTTTCGCATTTCGTAGAAACAAGGTAATTCTAAGATTACGATGTAGTTGTAGCCAATCCGCTGTCAGTCGCCGAATTAGAAAGAGAGAAGCTGGACTAGCGTTTCGCCCCCTCAGGTAGGTTCAAGGATTTCGATTTTGAAAGACAAGCTTACAGCGTGCCAGTACAATAAATGTTAATTATGTCCGGATCATTGTCATGGTGTCCTAAAACTTGGGGTTTTCCCGCCATAAGTCGGTACATCAATAGTTTTGGAACTTCCCATCATGAGACTACAATCTTTGTGTACTTTCATTTTCAAATACAATAAAAAATTTGTTTTAGTATTTTCACTTTATCATAACAACTCACTAATCATAACGTACTGTAGAACTCAATATCAACTGATTAACTTTTGACAGTAGCAATATCAAACTTCAGTACATTTATTTAACGATAAATCGGTTAATTCGAAATGAAAAACAAAGTAAGGAAATAAACGATTGATAAAACATAAATTAATGTACACAATAATCCTTTATCTTGATATACATTAATACACATTTCAAGAAAACAATTTTAACGAATTCTGTAGTTTAAGATAAGAAACATGTGAATTGGCCATTTGACTGGTTTTGTATTTTTAGTGTTAATCACTATGCATCTGGAGTAATTTATGATAAATTTATACACACCTTCGATATAACAACGTTTCTAACGACAACGTTCTAAACGACCTGCTTTTTTTAAATCCTCTTCAAGGTTTGATTTAATAAAAAATGATTGATTATAAGCACACCAAAATTTAAAGTTTGAATAACAAATTTCTTATTGAAAGAAACTTGAACCCATTAAATGCCAAATTTTATGCATCCCAAGATAATTTTACATGGATTGTAAATATGTCAAATATTGTTATAAATAACATTGAAAAAATAAATAAGTTTGAATAATAGAATGTAAGAACATACGCATTATATGCATTTCATTAAATATAATCCTACTGCAAATGACAAAGAAAAAAGTATGTATTTATATCCCCATTTGGGGATCACGATAGCAAATGGATTTATTTATATTTGTTTTATAATTACAAATAACAAGCATCTGAAAAAGCTTACATATATATTTTTAGATGCTTGTTGCACAATGCATTCATAGTTCATTCATTATGGTATAACGACGAATTGTATAATATACAATATGGAATGTAAAATTATATATAAGTGCATAGTACACATAGTATAATCTTGATAGTTGCAAGAAATAGAGCTAAGAATGCATGCAACCATTAAGACTTAATGGTTGAGGTAACCAATCAGTTGCATCATATTTTCTTAGAATTATATAATACAATATTATATTATCAAATTTATTTGATAGTTAAAAAGTTATCAATGTTATTGCATAAGTTTAATATACCTATTTTTATAAAAAAAGAACTGTGTACAGTTTTTTTATCCTGATAAAATTGCAATTTTGAAAATTAAGGGTGGATAGAAGACGTTTATTTAAGCAAAATATTTTTAACAATTTCATTCCACAGTATTATAGAGTACAGAAATCAGTTTAACATTTTTATAATTGCTATAATTTTCAAGATGTATAAGAAAATAGGAATACATTAATCTTTAAGGGCTGTTTCCGTTTTGAAAAAATAAAGTAATGAAAAAAAAAGTTGCCTAATACTCCTGTTAAAATTTTTTGGATAAAACGATCAGATTATTCAGATCACACTTTCCTTGTTCGCAATTTGTAATAACTTTAGATCCTGTTTACTATAAGATTTTTTATGCACGATTTGAAACGCTATCGGAATTCAAAAAAAAAGATTAAACGTAATATTTAAAAAATTAAAGATGACAATATTAAAGTAATAATACGAATTAATGATAAACAAAAATTAAGCAAAAATATTTTTGAATATATTATTGAACCGTTTTTTGCACATCTAGTTGTATAATTAGTATTTAATTATTTATCTAATGATTTAACATTAGATATAATTATTTACCTAGAAATTTATTCATGTTAGATTCGATCCATGAAGTAATATTACTGTTTAATTGAAAAATGATATGAAATTTTACTTCATAGCCGAGTCAAATCAGTTTCAAATAGTTTTGTTACATAGTCTCATTAAATTGTAGAAATACAACAAATAATTTGCTGGATTACCACTGCAGTGACATCTAATAAATATTTAACAATTTAGATCATAAACTGCGATAAATAAGATTGTTATATAACGTCATTTATTATTTTATAATTTTCTTTTATGTTACTATTAAGCAAATAATTTTTGAATAGATTTTTATACGTTCTAATTAGAATGGTCCAATATAATATACCATTTAGAAAATAAACTTTGCATCTTACATTTTGGACATTAACAAAGTAAAAGTAGAATTACGTAATACAATATAATTTATTATTTTATAACTTTACGTTAAGGTCAAGCAAATCATTTCTAAATAGATTTTTACATATTCTAATCAGGTTCTTCGAATGGAATGAATAATTTACAAAATGAACACTGCATCCTGCAATGCGGATCATAAAGAACAGTAAAGTGGGATATTCGTATAACGTTATAACATTTGTACAAGGTAACAAAATAACGCTTTTGTATAATTTATTATTCTATAACTTTATTTTACATTAGAGCCACTTATAACTAGATTTTTACATGTCCTATTTCAATTGTACCAACAAAATGACTAGTTTGGTTAATAAGCGCTTCATCTTCCATTTTGGATCACAAACTACGTAAAGTCCTAAAATAAAATTCTAAGTAAAGTAGGATTATTATATAACGTGACTAGTTTTATAACGATTGTTTCTTCTCAGGACTGTTCCTGTTTCAAACATTTTATAACCGTTTTGCGATAAATGTATATATGAATGAAACGAGTGCATTCAGACTCGCATATTAAATATAACCAAAAAAAAGACGAACATTTATTCTTTATCGAACGGTATCTTTATTTACACTCTATATCTTTGCTTATGCTGTAGGCGGACGGCCTTAGTTCTCTCATTTGCACTGTAATTTTTCATAGCAAGATCAATTACTTTTTTATTATTCTGAAACCTACGCATAGACACTGAATAGTGGAGGTTTCAATACGAAACGTACATAACAAAGAGTAAACCTGATTTACGTTAGTAGAACAGCGAATTTAATTAAATAAAATCAAGATATACAACAAGATAGATTATCATTTCTCATAAATCAGTTTCATTTCATTTAAATTAATCGCTGATAAGCATGAAGAATGGTTTTCATACGAATTAACTAACAATTTGTTTAATATGACTGATTTTTCAAATAATCGACTGCAGAAAATAAAAAATTGAATTATTTTGAAATAGATATTAAAAATATAGATTTAAACAGTACATGTTCGTAAAAACTACAGATTACTTGCATACTTACGGACTTACATTCTACATATTTTATTGTTTTTAATCTGTATTAAAAATATAAAGGATTAACCAACAAAATACTGAATTACAAACTGTAACAGTATAGATCGTTAAATGCTATATACGTGAATGCTTTTTATCTACATTAAAAATACTTCTCATTTATATTAAAAAGTATAGAAAATCCACCTATAAATATAATTATAACTTAACGAATAAATGCTGTATTAAAAACTTGCATTATATAATCAAATTAATATATCAGAACACTGATCACAATTGGCAATGTATAATTTTAAAATGGAAAATGGCAAAAGGAAATAAATGTACGATAATCTATATTTATAGCAAAATAGTAATAATATGATAATAATGTTGTAATAATAAACATTATTACAATTTTATTGCTTTTACTATACCTATCATATTCTTTTTCTATGTGATTTAGATTTATCTTGATTATTTCAAAATTTTACAGAACAACATACAAATTGAAAAAAGTGAACATAGTTGACATAAAACTTTCTTAACAAGAAAAGTAATTATCTTTGTAGCATAACAATATTACCATTACTAACGAATTGTTGATATAGAATAAAATGGTAATTACGCTGTAAATTAGATGGTTAAATTCTGTACAAAATTAATAACACGTGAACGAAATAGTTGCATAACTTAGTACTTTGTTTTATTAAATTATTCGTGTATTTTCGCTTTGTCATAATTGTAAACCTGATATGCTTTTTATGTGCATCAAGATAAATCTGGAATCCACACTTCTCCTGTTTAAGTAGGTTTATTTATAGCCTAGCGATAAATTTGAAGATATACGATAAATAAATGCAAAATAGTACTCAGCCAGGTTAACTTTGCAATTTGAATACATTTTTTTAGACAAAATTCAAATTTTTAAAATATCTGCATTTTTGTTGCTATTGCACCAGCTTATTTCTTCTATTACAGTAAAATATTATTATTATAAATTTCATAAATTATTGGAAAATATTTTTAGCCGTTGTTTAATAACTAAACATTTTCTTCTTAAATAAACGTGAGTATCAACAATCTGTTTTTTGTCTGTATACAATATTTTTATTACTGCGTTAAAAATACAGAATTATTCAATAGTAAGGAAAATTAATTTTATTGAAAATAAAGTTGTTTAAAATTCTATAATAACATTAGCATTAGATTTATTTTGTAATGGTCATTATTTAATAAGCATTTATCTTTAAACTGAAATTAAAGTAGAAAAGTAAATAAATGGGGGATGATACGTAAACTAATTTATTGAAATTTACACTAATTCTGACAAAACCTTTTTAATAATTTTTTTAATTATGAGAAATCTAATATCATTTTTACTGGTTTAATATTAACTAAATGTCCCATAGAATCATCTTCATTAAACGCAAAAAGAAATTATTTTAATTACATGATAAAGATAATAAATTAATAAAAAGTATCCTTAGTAAAATATTACTAATTTTTATATAAAACTTGTGCAAAGCAATTTCACACATGAAATTATTACTTCCGACTACAAAGGTAAACGACTCTTTCCTGTTACAAATGATAAACACTACAAAAAATGAATTAACAAAGCAATCTTCATAGAAAGTATTGGAAAGTTAATCGCATTAGGAACAACAATTTTCAGATGTTCCAGGCAATAAAGCATGGTTGCAGCGACAAAGTAAAATGGATTGAAGACCTAAACAGACCCCATTTGCTCGACAGCACCACATGCAGTCATAAACATTTACGCGTGTGAAAATGACAGTGACACATGTCACACACATGTTTATAAAATTATGGAGAAATCCCCTGGAGATGAGACACAATTCCGCTTCTCCTGAATAACCAGTGTAAGTACACTGGGTGTTCGTGCTAACAATATGCATGATCTTTTAACGATTTACAATCATTTTTTAACCAGTTAACAGCGAAATTTATTTTTAAAAGTCCTTTTACAATTTAAGACCTTTATAAAACAGTTTCAAAAATTTAAAAGATTTTTAATCTTTTTAAAATAGTCTTAGCAATTGCAAAGATTTTAAATTATTTTATATCAATAGTTTTAACAACTTGAACAATTTTAAATCTTTATAAAATTGTTTTAACAAATTAAAAGATTTTATTTCCTCTTAAAATAGTTTTAACGGTTTGAACAATTTTAAATCATTATAAAATAGTTTTAGCAATTCAAAAGATTATAAATCTTGTTGAAATAGTTTTAAAAATTTTAATGATTTTAAATTGAAACAAATTTTTGCAGTTCTTTTTCGTTTAATGTTTTAAGCTTGTTTTGCGTATTGGTTAATCTGACATTGTTAAGGGGGGAAAATTAAAAAAATATCGATTTTCCATTGATGCACTTACGAGTGTACAGTTTTACCCAATGGTCAAAGTAAAACCGGATAGAATACTCAATAGTGTCCCCAACGTCTGTAACATTTCAATTCATTCAATTCTTTAGAATTCTAGGGAGACACATCTTGTTCAAAAACCGGATGTCCGATTTTACCCGTCTGGTTTTGCTACGGTATGTATGCTACGGTATGTATAAATGTTACAGATATTATATATTACTGAAACTGCTACGATGAATTGAAAAAAATATTACAGACTATTGAAACTGCTAGGATGAATTTAAAAAAAATATCACAGATTACTAAAATTGCTAGAATGCATTAAAAGAAAAATATTAGAGATTACTAACATTGCTAGAACTAGTTAAAAAACAACCATTTACATATTCATACTTTAGTTCACATCAAAAAGTTCTTTTTTAAAAAACATACAATTTATCGTTATAAAATTTGTAATTGAAAATTAAGTCACAGTACTCAAACACGGAAAATGATATACTTTTATGTAGGATATGAAGGTGAAGGGGGAAACAAAAATATATTTAACGGGAAAATTAACAATTTGTTTAAGAATAAACACACACAAAGGAGAACAATACTTCGAGCGGCACTGCTATCCATGACTGTTTCCTTCAGGAGCGCAAAAATACGACTGACTCCCAGAATTTTGCAGATCGCAACCCGTCGTCAATAAAAGACTATCGTCTGCTTTATGGAAAAAACCTATGGTCACGGTTACTTTATGGAAAAAACCTACAGTAACGGTTACATTATGGAAAAAAACTACGGTAATGATTACATTTATGGAAGAATCCTACACTTATAATTAGAAAGCACATATATATTGCTATCGATTTTTGTTTATGCGATAATTCAAAGAACAACTATTCATGTTTTCATACATAGGACAGCAACGATAGATTACAAATCGTAGAAAATGAAAAAGTTGTTAAAAATAATGGTTTCCAGTGTTACCACTGTATCTGATTTTAACCTAATCTAGCCTAAAAGACATCCCTTCTTTAACATACAAATTTTATCATTTTTTTTACTAATGATTTATAAAAACGTTGATCACTAGTTTATTATACATAGATTATTGTAATATTGTATATGGTTCATTTCACACCAAATCGATCACTTTTGGACGTCACCATCTGCAATTTTGCTCCAACCAAAATATGTTGTAGTCCATGTGAAATGAGGAGGGGTTGAAGTCATCATTTTGCCGATTCCGAATTTGTTAAGGTATAACAAACCTTCAAAGTTGGCAATTTTTGCCCATTTTTGCGAAAATGGGCTTTCCTTACGAATTTTTTTCTCAGAAACTATTCAACCGATTTAGCTAAATTTTTTTCTGTTTTATTCATAAAGGATTAGACTATTTTAAAATATTTTTTTTAATTCTGTCAATTTGTTAAAATGTTGCAAAATTTAAATACATTCTTTATTTCTTGATCTCTTCATTCTTGTTTTCTTCAATAAAGGCTATAAGCTTTAAAAAAATATGTCATATTCTTTGAAGCTTTGCCTTTGAAATGAACGCTTCAAAACGATAGAGGCTCGAAAACTGATGTCACTACAAGCTGGAAAAGTCGCGGGGTACTTCTGTTTTAGGTAGGTGAGTCGTACGATAAGCTTACTTTGGAACCAGTGGTATAAAACAACCGATCAAAATAGATTTTTTTTTCAAAGAAAATTCCTTAACAAATTCGAAATCGGCAAAATAATGTCTTAAACCCCCC